CTACTGAGAGAAGATGTTGCTTCTGATGGATTTGCTTTGAAAAATGATGTCAGCTTTGGAAGATTTTGGAAAATTTCACTAGTTTTTTTTTCTTTTCTTCTGCCAGTTTTCATTTCTGTGCTCCACTCAGTTGGTTACGTTTCATCCTGCCCCCTTATCTCAGTTATCCGAACTTAAAAAAAATATATATATATTACACAACGTACACTATTTTTATATATATATATATATATATATAAGAAAAAATGAATCAAGTACGTATAACTCAGAAGAATATATCAATAATAAAATATAAATTTATTGCAATACATGACAGGATCTGATTTCCTCGCATTATTTCAATCTACGTTAGTAGGACGCCCCCCCTGGTTTAGGTGGGGTAAGTAATAAAAAGCTAACAGAAAAACGGGGGAAGAGTGTGGAGTGGAGTGTAAGGAAGTCTAACAAAGTTCTGATTTTTCCCATGATGACTACTTCGAGGCTTTTTTTGAAATATCAAATTTAAAAAAAATCTCATTTTTTGGTGCCCCCTGTTTTGCTGGTGCCCTAAGCCCGTGCTTAGACGGCCTATTGGATAATCCAGCCCTGGGACAAAGCATCATTCGCTCTTCCTGGCTCGCCGAAGAGTCACCACAGACTCATCTAGTTCAGGTTCAATGGCTAGTTTGTAAAATCTCAGATTGCCCCTAATTTGCCATGGGGCAAATTCCTTCTTGAGTCGAGCAGGTGATTAGCTTAGGCCTTTATGTGTGAGGATTAAGAGTCCTCACTGTTTTATTGCAGCTGGTGGAAACTGTGGACACTGTATTTATTCTTATGTGGCTAAAGAACCCATTTTCATCAATACATTAATCGTAACAGTACAGCTCACTGATGTAGGGCCTTTCACCTGCGGACTTCAAACCCCTTCCCAAAGAGGAGTAACATTGTCCCTGTTATACAGCTGAGTCCCAGAGAGGCTAAAGCCTGAATTTTTAACCTCATGTGGGTGCGCCATGCCACATCAGGCACTCCGAATTAGTGGGCGTGTTTGAAAGGTTGGGCCCAGATCACAACCTGAGTCGGGGGAGAGTCAGGAATAGAAGCCAGGTCTCCTGAAGGCCAATGACCTGGTCTGACAACTAGGTCATGCTGCCGCACGGTTTGCCTTGAATAGCTGTCAGGTCTCTTTGTCTGTCTCCGCTGCCTTTATTGCCAGGTAGGGTGCAGAGACCTGGTGCTGCAGGCTGCAGCGTGGCTGGTGAAAGGAGAGCCCTCGCTTTTCACATCTGGCAATTTGGTGGAACTTGTGTCTCTTTGTCCTAGCTGTGCAGGAGGGGCCAGTCCTCTCTTCAGTCTAGCTTTCTTTTCCTTTCTCCCAGGACTCCTTGCAGCAGCAGACCATGCAGGCGATCAGCCAGTTGGCCACCCGGAAGTACCAGGCCCGGTGCCGACAGGTCACCCTAAGGGATTCGGCCAGCAGCTGCAGCTCAGCCCCCGTCTGCGCTATCTGTCTGGAGGAGTTCAGCGAGGGCCAGGTAGGACGAGCTGTATGTGTAGGCTGGAAGCCAGACAGCAGATCTGGCCAATCATGGCTCTGAACTCTCTAGGCAGAGGTGCCGTTGGGAGGGGGGCTGCACAGCTGTGCAGGACTCTCTGTAAATGGCAAAAGGAGCAGTGTGCTCTGTGGGGCAGGGCTTTGGAGCAAGCACAGCACTGCTGCCTACTGTACCAGCATGGGAGAGGGGGCCTGTGAGGGCTTTAAACCCAGAGCCTCACAGGGATTTAGGCACCCAACTCCCATTGAAATCAGGAATTAGGTGCCTAAATCTCTTTGAGACTATGGGCCTTCATCCTTTGGGGGTCTGTCCTAGGCTGTTCCAGGATGCTCAGGTGATGCCTAATGCCAAGAGCATCCTCTCGCTGGGTGTGTGAACCTGGCTGCTATCCAGGTATCCCGGCCTTTGTCACTGCACCACGCTGCCATTGGGATCTTCAGACAGGATGCTGGCACAGCGCCTGGCTCCCCTGCTGGCAATCAGTTAACACAGGGAAGGTTAAGGGGTGACTGGATCACAGGGAACAAATATTTGATATGGGGCTCTTCATGCTAACAGAGAAAAGTAACACCATCCACTGGCTGGGAGCTGAAGCTAGGTTGGAAATAAGGCGTGCGTTTTTAACAGTGAGAGCAATGAACCATTGGAACAACTTACCCAGAGTTGTGGGGGATTCTCCATCGCTGATGATTTTTATATCAAGATGGGATGTTTTTCTCTAAAGTCTGCTCTAGGAATTGTTGTGGGGAAGTTCTCTGGCCTGCCTTGTGGAGGGGTGAGCCTAGATGATCACAATGGTCCCTTCTGGCCTTGGAATCAATGAATCAGTTGTATCTTTCCAGGACCAGGTGACTCCAGAGCTCCATGGCCTGGCCTGGCTGCCAGGACATTTGCAGGGAGAGCTGTGGGTGTGGGGAAAGCTTCTAATGGGTTGCGGCCTGGTTCCCTGAGCAATGCCTCTCCCCAAGGGGTGCTGCACCAGTTGCACTCAGCACTGGGGCCTTTGTTGGAGCCCTCGGTGTCAGAGGGCTGCTGACAGGACATTCCTCCAGAGGGCTTTGCAATGTGTGCCCCACTCGGACCCCAGAGCTTGGACACTGCAGAGGCATGGGCTGGTACGCTCAGAGCCAGCTCGCAGCATTAGAGGTGCTTCGGTGATCTTGTTTTATACATTGGGAAGCGCCCAGAGTGTGAGATCAAGGCTGATCCGTGGAGCAGGGAGAGAGACATCTCCCCACCCACATCCAGCTCCCTCCAGGGACCTTGCTCTGCCCACTCAAACCTTCTCTCTGTCTTTGTCTAGGAGCTGCGGATTATTTCCTGTTCCCATGAGTTCCACAGAGAGTGTGTTGACCCCTGGCTGCAGCAGCACCACACCTGCCCGCTCTGCATGTTCAATATCATTGGTAGGGCTCCAGGAGGGACCAAATCGCCCATGAAAAGCACCTCCCAGCAAGAGTGTGGGTGGGTGTGTGGGGGAATTGTGATGTGTGTGGGGGTGTTGGTGGTGTGTGGGGAAGGGTGTTTGTGGTGTGTGGGAGGGAGGGTGTTTGTGGTGTCTTTGTGTATGGGGTGTTTGTGGTGTGTGTGTGTGGTGTGTGGGGGAGGGTATTTGTGGTGTGTGTGTGATGTTATGTGTGTCGGAGAAGAGTGGTTGTCGTGTGCGGGGGGAAGGTGTAGTATGTATGTGGGTATTTGGGGGTGTGGGTGGGTGGATGTGGTGTGTGTGCGGGGGTGGGTGTTTGTGTGTGTGGGGGAACGGGTTTGTGGTGTGTGGGGGTGTTATGTGGGGGGTTGTGGTGTGTATGTGGGTGTTTGGGATGTGTGGGTGTGTGGGGGGAGGGCATGGTGTGTGTGGGGGTGGGTGTTTGGGAGTGTGTGTGGGGCGAGGGAGTTTGTGGAGTGTGTGTGTGGTGTTATGGTGGGGGCGTTTGTGCGGGGAGGTGTGGTGTGTGTGTGTGGCTGCTTGGGTATGGGGGAAGGGGATTTGTGGTGTGTGTGGGGGGGGTGTTATGTGTGTGGGGTTTGTGGTGCGTGTGGGGAAGGTGTGGTGTGTATGTGGGGGTGGATGTTGGGAGTGTGGGGGTGGGTGGTGTTATGTGTCTGGAGTGGAGAGTGTTTGTGGTGCGTGGCAGGAGGGGGGTTGTGGTGTGCATGCGAGGGAATTTGTGTGTGAGGGAGATTCATGGCTGTGAACCAGCACCGAGGAGGTTTTCTTGCACCCACACCTGTGTGTGCAGCTCTCTGAAGGTCTCCAGAGGCACTGGTTTAGGGGAAGGCTCATCAGGCTGTATGGGAAGCAGTAAAAGGGTCCCCATGTGCTGGTGGGGACAGGGAATGTTTGGGTATCAAGCACAGAAGAGAGGTGGGTCAGGGCAGGTGGACGAGTGAGCGGGGTCTGGGGAGGAGCAGCCTGGCACTGGGTGAGTGGGGCGAGGCACTGGGGAGAGGTTGCCAGGCACTGGGTGAGTGGGGCGGGACACTGGGGAGGGGTTGCCTGGCACTGGGTGAGTGGGGGCGGGACACTAGGGAGGGGTTGCCAGGCATGGGGTGAGTGGGGCGGGGCACTGGGGAGGGGTTGCCAGGCATAGGGTGAGTGGGGGCAGGCACTGGAGATTAGTTGCCAGGCACTGGGTGTGTGGGCGGGGTTCTGGGGAGAGGTTGCCAGGTTACCGTGGGATGGGATGCAGATACGTAGTGGATATGCCCTTTTTGTCTCTCTAGAGGGGGCTGCCTTTGCCCAGCCTGCACATTTGAGGCAGAATTCCCAGGATCTGGAACCTGGGCGGCGGCTTCACCTCTTCCGGCAACACCCAGGACACGCCCTGTATCACCTCCCAGAGGCCCACCCCCAGCGGCGGCTCAGGAACTTTGCTTCGCAGCTCCCCCATGGCAACCCCTTCTTCCATTCCCCAGAGCTCTCCCAGTTGGATTTCAGCACCATGCACTATTTGCCATACAGGCCAGTGGGCTCCAGGGCCACATGCAGCCATCAGCCCTCTCTAGTCCAAGGCCTAGGGAATGAGCAGCACCGAAAATCTCCAGCATGTGGGCAGATGCCATCTTCTCACAGGACCTGTCCACTTCAGCACCAGGCCCGTTGCCTGGGATTCAGGACTGCGGTAGTACCGAGACAGCACCACGCTGCCCCTCTTCGTCGGGGAACCAGTCATGGGAGACAGCACAACAGCAGTGGCTCAGGGGAGAGCTATCTCACAGAGCACAGTGGGTACCTGGCTGATGGTCCGGGCAGTGACTCCAGCTCTGGACCCTGTCATGGCTCCTCCAGTGATTCTATGTTGAATTGCACAGATGTCAGCCTCCAAGGCATCCATGGCAGCTGCTCCACCTTCCGCAGCTCCCTGAGCAGTGACTATGACCCCTGGGTGTACTGTAGCTCCACTGACAATGGCCAGGAGCAGCTGCAGCCTCCAGGGGAGCCAAGGCCGAGGTCTTTGGACTTGAAGGAGACTGGCAGCACTGCATTAGCCAAGAATCAGATACTGAGTCATGTCCATTATCACCACCACAGGCACCATCACTACAGGAAAGACCTAGAGTGTCCATCTGGGAGACCAGGCCAGGAACCCAGCCAGCGTAAGCCCCGGTTTGCTGAGGCTGTGCCCAGTGCTCGGACACAAAAGAGGACTGAGAAAACGCGTCACTGCAAACAGCCTCTTGAAAGCAGCCCGGTGTCCCAGGCTGCATCTCTGTCAGGACAGCTCTCCTGTGTGCATCAGGGACCTGACCTCTCAAAGCACCTCTCCTCTTCTGCAGACGGGTCTGACTTCAGCTGGGTGGCCAGTAGGCAAGCTGGAGCAGCTGGTCCATTGTCTTTCCCGCTGTCACAGAAACATGGCTTACAAAGCCGTCACCACAGAAGGAAACGGAAGTGCCGCCCGGAGCCTGTTCTGGCTCACCTTTCAGAGGACTCAGATGTGCACAAAGACTGCAATGTTCACATTCACTATGGCCACTCCCCTGGCTACTGCTGCTCCCCAGAAGTTCAGCCACTGTTGCCAACGGCCCCTATGCCCTATTGCTCAGGCTCTCAGGTGGTTTGGAAGTGCCGAGTCCCGCCCTCCCACTTGGAGTCCCAGCAGCAGGACAAGGACCTATCAGAATGGGAAGGGAAACCCATGTATCCAGTTGATTTCTCAGGGACAGGCACCACAGAAGACAACACAAGTCTTTACCTCCCCTGCCAAACTCTGCAACACAATCAGGGTAAGTTTGTTAGTCACCTCTGCTTTTAGCAAACCTCTGAACAGTGGATTGTACAATTCAGGGTTCATATATAGACGTGTGTGTGTGTGTGTGTGTGTGTGTGCATATAAACACCACACGTTGCCCCAAGCTACTGACAACAACTGAGAATGGATGTTTTCAGAGTTCAGACATCAGAATTATAGAAGATTAGGGTTGGAAGAGACCTCAGGAGGTCATCTAGTCCAACTGCCTGCTCAAAGTAGGACCAATTCCCAACTAAATCATCCCAGCCAGGGCTTTGTCAAGCCGGGCCTTAAAAACCTCTAAGGAAGGAAATTCCACCACCTCCCTAGGGAACCCATTCCAGTGCTTCACCGCCCTCCTAGTGAAATAGTGTTTCCTAATATCCAATCTAGACCTCCCCCACAGCAACTTGAGACCATTGCTCCTTGTTCTGACATCTGCCACCACTGAGATCAGCCGAGCTCCATCCTCTTTGGAACCCCCTTTCAGGTAGTCGAAGGCTGCTATCAAATCCCCCCTCATTCTTCTCTTCTGCAGACTAAATGAGCCCAGTTCCCTCAGCCTCTCCTCAGAAGTCATGTGCTCCAGCCCCCTGTTCATTTTGTTGCCCTCCGTTGGACTCTCTCCAATTTGTCCACATCCTTTCTGTAGTGGGGGGCCCAAAACTGGATGCAATACTCCAGATATGGCCTCACAAGTGCCGATTAGAGGGGAATAATCACTTCCCTTGATCTACTGGCCACGCTCCTACTAATGCAGCCCAATATGGGCAACAAGGGCACACTGTTAACTTATATCCAGCTTCTCGTCCACTGTAATCCCCAGGTCCTTTTCTGCAGAATTGCCGCTTAGCCAGTCGGTCCCCAGCCTATAGCAGTACATGGGATTCTTCCATCCTAAGTGAAGGACTCTGCACTTGTTCTTGTTGAACCTCATCAGATTTCTTTTGGCCCAATCCTCCAATTTGTCTAGGTCACTCAGGACCCTATCCCTACCCTCCAGTGTATCTACCTCTCCACCGCAACTTAGTGTCATCCGCAAACTTGCTGAGGGTGCAATCCATCCCTTCTCCAGATAATTAATGAAGATGTTGATCAAAACGGGCCCCAGGACTGACCCTTGGGGCACTCTACTTGATACCGGCTGCCAATTAGACATTGAGCTGTTGATCACTACCCGTTGAGCCCGATGATCTAGCCAGCTTTCTATCCACCTTATAGTCCATTCATCCAGCCCATACTTCTTTAACTTGCTGGCAAGAATACTGT